ATTGTGAAGCTTTAGAATGTAATTTTTGTTTTGAGGCTTGTGTTCTTGTATAACGTGTTCTTGTTTGGCATCTGGCTGACCTTCAGGGCAATCTCTTCTCACATATGTGCTTCTTTGTGCTGATTATTGTGTATTTCACCTGCAATTTAGGACACTGAAGTGTGGCTTTCTTGATTTGTCCTCAAAGACTCCCCTCACAAGGCGTTTTTGTCTATCACAGTGTTAGTCCCATAAACTGTTTGGCCAGCATAGGTAAAACCACTCAGATACATCTACCAGGAGGTGCAGGGCAAAACACTCTTTTCCGATCCCAAAGGCAGCCATATCGCTGTCGGTCAGTCTTGGCTCTGTGTGATTAATCGTGTTGGGTCTTGGGCTGGGATGCAGAGGTCCCTGTAAGCAGTTTGAAATAGCTTTCCTGTGCTACCGCTGATCTGGGGTGGTGCGGTGGGGCTGGCGAGCCCCCCGGCTCCAGCACCCTGTGCCATGGCAGCCCCCGTGGCTGCTTGGCCACGTGTGTTCTGCAGCATGCTTGCTGAGGCACTTTGGGAGAGCGGGGCAGGCCGTGATGGGATGTTCACACAAGCACACGGACTGCAGCCTTGCACAAATTTCTCTCGTCTTCCCTTCAGAATGAAAGGAAGATCGGACAGCACTGAAACCTTGAGCATCCCATGTGTGTTATGTGTTTTTAGCTAGAAATTGTTTCACTTGTAAATTTTTTCATTTCTTTTCTACTTTTTTAGATTTTTTTTTTAATTTCAATAGGCTGTTTTCTGTATCTAAATTATATTTATTTAGACTTTAGATACACCCAAACCCAACTGGTTAGATTTCCAAGGAAAATATCTCAGAGTTCAAACAGATCCCAAATCCCTCTTTCTTCACCCAGCTCTTATGAAATTTGATGTGTAATTTCAGTCTGAGGGAGATAACTGCCAAGACTTAAACGAGATGTGTATGTTGGTCACGTTATGCATGCAGTCCTCTACAGAAAACCAGCGTTGTGCTGATTTTTATAATTCTTCCGCAAGAATTCTTGCGGAAACAGCTTGATTTAGG